TTTATGCTGGCTTCTGGCTCCTCACTTCCTTTTCCAGCTTCTTGTTCAGCCAGGGAATTTCCAGCTCACTGCTTCTTCTGGAGGTATCCTAATACCACAGGGATGCTTCTACATCACAGAGGGGAAAGCAATTTAATTAATGCTGTCAGGGTCCTTCAGGTTTGGAGAGAGGATAATGCTGTAGAAACAGCCATTGGTTCACTCCCTCCTAATTCTTGCAGTCCCCCACCCACAAAGGCCAATTCTTGTGGGGCTCCTATGCAGTTGAGGAAAAGGGAGGGGAACAATCCTATCAAAGCAGTACTCCCCAAGCTGCCAAATCCTCCTGGATTTTTTTTACCCTCCTATAACTAAAAGGACCAGATTGTGATACTACCTTGCAGTAGGAATGGGACTGCTTATGGTGTAAAAGCATTACTCAGGCTCAATAAGGGTATCGCAATCTGGCTCCATGCAATTCCAATGAACAAATGAGCAATAACTTCCTTCAGTGATTCAGTGTGTGCATTATCCAGTTTTAATGCATTCCTAGATGTGTTACTGGACATGACACCAAAGGCAGACAACTAAAAGGCTTTTAGAAGGGCACAGGGATTAGCAATATACACCTGAGATAACAGGATGTATCTTTTCCCTTAAACTTGTAAAAATGAATTAAACCCAAAGTATTTCATGGAGCCTGAATTACCATTTGAGAAGCAGCTCACACAGAAGGGAGAGCTCCACGTTTGGAAGTAGTTTAAATTCTCTCTAGTCTTTAGGATTATGGCAGTACCTTGTGGGATTTTTCCATTATCTGTCTCCCCTGGTCTCACCCTACACTGTCTGCCTCCCCCTCACTCAGTTTTGGCCTGGCTGCTGCCTCCAAGCCAGTTATTCTAGCTGCCATTCCTTTTATATCAGTCAGCTTCTATTTTTTTTTTTTAAGGATCTAAGTGCTTTCTCTATTTTAATAGAAGCTGGAGTGTCTAATAGACCTAGCTGCCAAAAATGTCATCTTCAAGGGGGTTGCTGGGTGAAAGCCTGTTATGTTTCTTTATTCCTATGCACTGAGTAACAATCTAATGGCTCCAGAATACCACATATATTATTAACATGGTATACAGTAATGGTTCCAGAGAGTATTGTAGAATTCTTACTATGCTAAATTTCATACACTATGATTCTCATATAAATTTCCTTGGCACCAAGAGTCAAATTTTCCAGTTGTGGAGTCTACTGCCTAGGACTGCTACATTAGGGAATTACAATATGAAAGGATAAACAGACCCCTAATAGTTTGTAATAGCCATTACACTGTCATTTCTTTGAATTCTTATTATTCCAAATATGAAATATACATTGAGAAATAGCTTTGGACTGAGATTTTTCTATGTTATTTCAATTTGTTATACCAGTCTGACAAAGAAAATTACCTATAAATCTAAATAATTACAGTATAACAGATTGCCAAAGTTCTAATTGTCCTATCCTTTACCTGCTGCCATACTTACTCCAAAGAGTGAGTTCAGTGAATTTTGGCTCTTTTAGGGCCAGATTCTCATGTGGTGTTAGTGTAAGCCCAGAATGTCACAAGATCTGAGGACGTGGCCCTACATTTTGATACATTTCCCGTTAATCTTTGCTAACATCATCTCTCTCCCCAAGCAACAGCAGATAACAAAGGTGTGTGATAATGTGATGATGCAAAAAACCAAAGTGCAGGTGTCCAACAGAATTGCATTGCTTGAGGTATTGATTTCATAAAATATTTGTTAAATTGTAACTACTGGCTAATTCATCTTGATTCAAAAAACTGTCTCATCCAACTATTAAATTCCTCAATAGTCTATATAGAACAGGGGTCGGCAACGTTTGGCACGTGGCTCGCCAGGGTAAGCACCCTGGCGGGCCGGGCCAGTTTATTTACCTGCTGACGTGGCAGGTTCGGCCGATCACGGCCCCCACTGGCCGCGGTTCACCGTCCCGGGCCAATGGGG